ATCTTGCCTCATTAAATCAGAAGTCTCCTTAGATACTGGGCCTTTCGAAGGTTCCTAGGTGATAAAATGATCTAAGTCGTTCTTCTTCAAACCTCCAGGAAATCTTCCTTTTCTGTGTTTGCAGCAGTAGGAGGCAGGTGCGTGACAAGCAGGTACCCTTCGGTTAATGACAGACCAGTTGACACCTATAGGACAACCAAGTTGTGGTCCCCCCCACTCGCCCACCCATCGGTGTGTGTTTCTGGATATGGATGTAAAATACAGTGTTGTGTCTGTTTTAAATTGAAATAAATGGAATTGTCGAATTATAACTTCACTCAACGCACTTTAAGATCTGCCCATGCCACTGCCTAGTTAATAGCTCCTGACCGATGCACAGTATTCCACAGGCTTTCAGTTGTTCTTGGAGTTCATAGTGAGTGATGAACCTAGACTGCCGCCAGCACTACTGCAAGCGACGCTATGATAACGATCCTCGCACATGTTCCCCTCTGTTCCTGGGAGAGAATTCCTCTGGAGTAGACTGAGCAGTGGGATTTGGGGCTCATGGGACATACTTCGTTTCACTAAGTACTGCCAGACTAGTCTACAGAGTGGTTGTGTTAGTTTAACACCCCCAACAGTGGTACATGAAGGTTCCGTTTTCCCTGCATCCTTGCTGATATCTGTTATTTTTTAAGTGTCTAATTTTTGCCAATCCATTAGGTACAAAATAAATGTTAGTTTTAACTTGTACTTCTTTTGTTTACAAATAAGGTTGAACATCTCTCATGTACTTCTTGGTCACTTGGGTTTCCTTGCTTGTGAACTGCCTAATCATCTTCCTTGTTGTTTTATTTCTGATGAGTTTCCTGTCTTAGTCCTGTCCTTCTTGTTGATTTATAAGAGTTTTTCACATATTCTTGCTATCAATCCCTTTTCTTGGACATAGTAAACATCTGTCAACAGTTTTCTGTTAATATTGTTTAAGGAGTCCCTAATTTTTATGCAGCTAGATTCAGTGAAATTTTTACCTTATGATTTGTATTTTTTGAATCCTAATGTATAGAAAGGCTAATGGAGAATAGGAAATTCAGAAACGGAATCTAAGACATACAAACATTTGGTATAAAATAGCATTTAGTATTTCAAGACAGTGGGAAAGATGAATTTTTCAATACTTGGCATTTGAGTAATAAGGTAGCCTTCTTGGCTTGGCGGTGGGGAAATAGGTCTCTATACTAATATAAATTCAAGTTGAAGCATATATTTAAATATGAAAAGTGAGACCATAAAAATGCTCTCTCCACAGTAGACCTCCCTTGGAATTCTATATTTTTAGTTCCTGGGAGCTAGGACTAAGGAGACCTGCTTTGCTTATTCTTTTCCCTGCTCAGAGTGCCCATCACAGTTTGTTTAATTAGCAGCCTCCTTAAATCTGAAACATGTTGTAGGGCTGGCCTACCTGTCACCTTTCTGTGAAGTCTCTGAACCCTGCCAGGATGTATGGGCATACCGTCCTCTGTGCTCCCATAGCCCCTGTGATGTCAGCGAGTACAGTTTCTGCATCTATCTTCCATTAGAGCTGGTGCCATATGGCAGAATTACTTACCTAGAATCTACTCAGTGTGAAGCCGGAAAACAATAAGCATCAAAAGAATATGCTTAGTCTAGAAAGGAAGCAGGAGTCAAATTGAAGCAAGCATTGATTGATAGGATGAAACTGATTCTGAGCCTGTGGGGAGTAGGTTAAAGTTGACTGCTTTTAGGAGAGTGGTGGCATCAAAGTGGTGTTTCAAGGTTAACCCAGCAGAAGAAGACAGAAGTTCAGGGAAGAGTGGAAAAGCAGGACAGTTAGGTGGCTATTGCAGTAATGTGGGCACGTGGTAGCTGGATGGACTAAAGGAAGTGGGACCAACGGACACGGTGCAGGAAGAATCACCAGGCTCGGCGCTGGTTCATTGTGAATGCAGGAAGCTATGTGTGATGAAGCTGACGGCCACCATGCCTGTGGATGGGCCTTTGATGGGCTGAATTCAGCCTTGGGTTTTGGCAAAACCAGAGTTTTCAGGTGAATCATGGAAAGACCTAGTTACTTGAGCTGCTCTGTAGACCTGACAGTGGCTATTTGGAACTGAGATTGAGTGGGGTGATGGTGGAAGGAGGGCTTTACGTGTACCATCCAGGTCATTCCAGGTCCTTCTGGAATGTTCAGGGGAAGAAGGGGGAGGAGAGGAGCTGCCTTCCTCTCTTAGCTCCAGTGCACTCACTTCAGGGGGTTCCGGTGCCTAACGCGCCACAGCCCCCCCAGATCGCCCAGCACGGTCAGCTCTAATAGCTGCTGCCCCCTGACCAGCCGTGTTTGGAAGATGTACATTTACTAAGACTGTAAATCATTTGTGACCTTCTCCTTGTTCTCTTTGCCCAACGGACAAACTAGACTTGACCAAAAAAAAAAGGATGTTACTGGTAAATAATGAGCAATAAACACAGGAAGTATAAGAGAATAAACAGAGAAGATCACGCCTGGCTCGCATTTCTGCTCCTGTAGTGTTAGGCCTGTTGTGACTGCTTCGTGAGGCTTTTTCTGTTCTCTCGTAGGAGTCAGTTTCTTCATCTATGGGGCTATCTTGGTCTGACCCCGGTCTCACTTTTTATAAAGTGCACTGTTTGCAGACCCCAAAAGTTATCCCTTGATTGGACAAGGAGACTAAATGTGAAGTAGTAATGACCTTCATCGCCTCCCAGCTGTGGTCACTGCCGTCAGACCTGTCTGCTCCTCGTCTCCGTGCCCTTTACCTCACCCTTCCCTTTGCAGGGCAGCCCAGAGAAAACGCTGCCTCCTTGTCCTTCCCTCTCAGAACACTGCTCTCCCCACAGTGGGCCCCCCATGGAATTCTGCATTTTTAGTTCCTGGGAACTGAGACTTGGGAGCCCCTAGCTCTTGATTCCTTAAGAGATCAAAGAAGATGGACATCTTGGGCCATTGAAGGATACCGAAGGTTTCGCTTTCTCCGCCCGCCCGCCCCCCCCATAACCTCTGCCTTCTGGAGAATTCTGGTTAGCTTCCTCATCTTCTTTCAAGAGAATAGTTTATAGAAGTCTAACTGTTACAGTTCTACAGTGTCCAGATAGCCTTTAAATTATAGCAACACAAGAAAAAAGGTGTCCTCGAATGGTGTGGTAAATCACCACCCTCTGGCCCACTGTGAGGGCCTCAGTGCGGCTGTGAGTGCGCAGACCTCCAGGTCCTTTCCACCCACTAGGCAGTTCCACTGGGTTCCTGCATCGTGCAGGTGAATTGGCATTCACTTCCCTGCCTTTTCCTTCTCACTGGTGCATGGTAGGGAGACTTACTGCACTGCAGCCCCCTCATTTCCTTAGAGCAGTGATTTACTTAGTGCAGGAATGAACTCGGGCTGAGTCAATAGACAGGAATCTGCCAACCAGAAAGAACCCAAGCATTAGCCTGTCTTTCCCGGGCCAGCTACTCACAGGTCCCAGGGATGTAGCCGTGATGCCCACATCTTCCTTCGCCTTGAGTTGTCCCCAGCCACTGTCATCAGCACACTTACTCGTATATACCCACAGTGTGTGTGTGTGTGTGTGTGTGTGTGTGTGTGTGTGTGTGTGTGTGTGGACACTAGATTCATATTAGGCGTTTAACTTACCAGACTGAATACTGTGGAGAATTTCACTTTGGATGTCTTAACTTCTGAGTTGCATATTATTAGCAGTGTAGACTGTTCCTATAAAGTGTGTATATTGCTTAGGCTTTCTTATTATTAAGTTTTAAACTTTTAACATTTTATTAAGTCTTTTTTTTACCATTTGGAATAATGACATCTACAGAAAGTATATATACTCAGAATCACCCATTCCCTAGCCTTGCTCTTAAATTGCCATTACGACTTGTGCTGATTCACCTAAAAAATGACGAGAAATGGGGTAGGGAAGAGTTTCTTTTTAAATCTGTTCTAATGTCTTCAGGATTTTTCTGAGAAGATTTCACAATAATTTTTGAAGTCTTAAATGACAAGGTCCCCCTAAAGGTGTTCAATACTGATGGGGCTTTCTTGACACATGGTCACATTTTTATTAAAAATTAATACACAAATGAGTGCACACATGCATGCACACACACACACACCAAATTGTACCTATGGCCTCAGTATCCTTAAAGGGGCTGGCAAGACAACCTGACAGCATCTTCAGGTCGGGGAGCACGTGAGCATCTATTGCTTCACTTGCCAAAATATCTGGTCATACGTAATCAACAGGAGGCTTATTCTCATATTCCCTATTAGTCTTCTTTGGTCTTTTAGAAGGTTTTGATGAGTTCAAGTGTCTGTTGTTTAGGGGCTGAGCTGAATTTGTTGCTAAAAGAGTCAGAGGACTGTATGAAACTGAGGGGCTCTATGGTGGACAGTTTCAATGTCCCTTGTTCCTGAACGTAAAAACATGAACTTCCTGATAGTATTAACTTATGGGACCTTAGTATTTTATGTAGAAATTACAATAGCATCACAGCCTCCAAACAGTCTAGAATTTCCGAGATGTCAGCCAAACTTGCATTAGTAGTTTATTAGCTCATATCACTTCACCTCAGCTCTGAACTGTCACGAAGCTGGAAAAGGAACCACAATTTTGTGGAAGCAGAAAAGACTAGAATTAATAAACCTCACGGAAAGCCTAAGTGAGCATGAGAGAACATGAAAGAACAGACCCCAAGTGCCAAGGAAGGTGCCAGAACATTAGTCTATAAAATCGTCTTCACCAAAGTAATTTGTAGCACATCCATCCTTCCTTAAACATAATTCTTACACCTTGATAAGGGAGAAGGTTATAAAGGAAATGGAAATGCACATCATCAAACAAGTTGACTTAGGGATTCCTAATTCTCTTTGTCTTAACAATCAAGACTAAGTGACTCTAACTCATGCTAAGCCTTTCGTTTGGGGGGATAAGGCATTTACTGTCTGGGCTCACTAACCCTTGTCACTTGTGCTTGGTTTCTCTAGAGATAATACCACAACTTCAGAATGGGCCACTGGCCCCTTCCCTACTTCCTGTGATCAAGCCATTGGCCGACGTTTCTGTGGGGATGCCTATAAACCACCAGAAATCAGACTCTGCAGAGATGGACTCGGACTTGTCACTCAGCTGCAGGCTCAGTGACCTAAGCCGAGGGGGCAGCTTGGAGAGTCGAAGCAGCAGTTCTCGCTCCAGAAGTCTCACTTCGGTGAGTGATGGCTTTTTTTAGTGCTTTGATGTGCTTGGGTTGGCTGACTTTGCCCCAGCTCCCTCCCCTTTCAGGAAGATTTTATCAAATTCTTTTGGGTTAACCAGCTTGATGTTTTGGAATACTTGCTTTGTGAAGTGGCATTTAATTTTTAATCATCTGAAATTTTGCACAAATACAGAGTGTTCCCCCACAGCAGTGAAGGGGACCTCCCTGTAGCACATAACTGACTGCTCAGACCTAGGAGGTCCCAGGCCTGCAAGCAGCAACAGACCAGGCAAGGCCTGCTGCCTTTCAGTTCAAACAGCCGAAGGAAGAGAAACGCCTCACAGGGGGAAACAAATTCACTTGAAAACAGATTTTAACTCCTTTACAAATATAAATGCTTTTGTATCCCTTTCTCTCAGAATCCAGACCCTTACACAGCATCCACAAGCTTTGGGAACTTTCACAAGGAGTCTTTAAAATTAAGAGATGACAATTTTGCACTCCCCACCCCTCAGGATATTCATCTTTCAGGACTGAGACCTTTATATTCATAGAGGGACAGGAGAGAATTCACCTTAGACATTACTAATAATGGTCTATTGTTCATCTCAGTCCATCTAGTGAGAGCATGAATTTCCTTCAGATACTCTGAGCCCGAAAATGAACCCCAATTATGCTGAATAGAAAAAAAGATATACACGGTATATTGATGGCAGTTAATAGTAATGACAGAATTTTGAAGACTCCTATTTGCACATTTTCTTTTTTTTAAACCATCATGGTAGTATGTTATAAATATTATTTGATTCATTCACCAAAAGAAATTATGCTCTGAAAATCAGAACCTACAAATCCTTAAGAATGGAGAATTTGGGACTAATTTTTTAATTTAAAAGATATATAAAGAATATATTAAAAGACATATTAACAGAATATGTGGGAAAGACACACAGGTTAGTACCCTAGTAATTAGTGGAGCATGTTCTCCAAAGCACAGCTAGGAAGCAGTCCTGCTCTGGTACAGAAGGGTGTCTCCAAACTCGATGTGTCTAATTGGGATACAACAGTCTAAGAGACTATCTCGTGCATGTGCTAGTGGAATAAAACAGGATAGCATCAGATGACCTGGGTATCTAAGGAAATGGGTGTAGTGCATTAAGAGTCAGGGTATTTGAATTTTCTTGCCTTTCACATTCACTTTCATGTTGAACTTGAGACAGATCTCTTAACATCATCCTTTGTACCCTGAGAACTGAAATAATACTTACTCTTCATCTCCTCCTGGCACACAAGGTGGTCCCAAGTATGTCCAGTGCTTTGAATTTGGGGAGAGAAAATTGCTACTTTTGTGTCTCCATTCCAGACAGATAGGGTCCATCCTTCACATTAACTGATTAATGTCTACTTTTCCCTGTGTGGTACCTCAAACTCACATGCTCCAAATAGGATGTGACTGACCTCTACCAAGCTGTCCATTGAGAGTGGCATTAACTGACAGTTGTATACGACCTTCCATGTCTTTTGTGTATGTGATTTATACATCTGCTCAAATGCTGAAAGCACTGCTCTAGGAGTTAAGGACACGACAGTGGAGCCTACATTCTGATGACAGCGACCCATTATGACAGCACAGGCTGGCTTCCCAGCAGCAGATTCCGAGATGAAAGAGTGCAGGAGGCTTATTAGGACTGTTCCTGGGATCCATGTCTGGAAGGAAGAGAAGCAGGACTGAGGGGAGAGAGAAGTTGGATTGTGAGGCAGACCCCACAGAGGCCTTAGCTGCCGCTCAGGAAACCCTGGGGCTGGACTAGCCCTCAGTTGTCCCTGTTGGGTCGAGAGTGGAGCCTTTGTGCCCACTCAGTGATCAGTCCCCTGGAAGGAGGCATGACCTTGACAAGACAGTTTCTTTCAGCTTAAGACAGTCCCCAAAGAGGACTGACAGCTGAGGACCACCTTCCAGCATCACTCCTATCAAGTGGGCAAACAGCTCCTTCATTCCCAAGGGGTGGCCTGGTGGCACATCACACTGACTGCCATGAAGGTTCAGGAGAAAATGGAAAGACCTCTTAGAGGGATCAGAGCCACTGGAGTGCCTCCAAGATATCTCAACTAGAAGAAGCAAATCTGGAAAATGAATCCAGGCGCTTACACGATACTGCCTACTGAAACACAACCCTTCGCAGAGTGTACATGTAGGCAGATGGGACCTTAAGGTCTGTCCTCCAGCAGATTTGAAGAATATTCATCCTGCTGTCAGGGTGTCACACACAGGAGTACATCTTCAGAGATGAAAGCTCTTGTTTGAAAGGAAGCCTATTAAGTTTCAGCTACAAAGTCACAGAGAGAAATGGCTTATTATAAAAATTTCACCATGGATGCATTTTTGGTAATATATTAGAACTATCATTAGGTTCATAGATGGGAAAGATTATAAGTCTCTTACACTTACAGATCTCAGGAGGTCAAGGTGGATGAGTGACAACTGCCTGATGCCTCCTGGCTGACTGCGGTGGAGGGTTTTTGAGCCTTCAGTGTTGGCCTGCCTAGGTTTCACAGTGGAGCTGAGTAGGGATTAGAAGGATGGTCCCCAAGACATAATTTTTTTTAAATACAAAAAATATCCTTATGCATTTTTAAAGTTGCTTCCTTCTTTACTAACCAATCAGTATCCTAAATATGAGCTCAGAATAGTAGTAAACATGGAAACATGCGTGGGCTCAAATTCAAATTTGCCTCCCTTTGTAACCTGGGAAAAGTTATTTAATTGCTCTCTTCATTAGTTATTTTCTTTGTTAGTTAAAAGGGGTGAGTGGGATAATTCTTTCTCAAGGGTTATATATTGTAAAGATTAAATGTCTAGCATCTAATCAGTGCTTATAATACCAGCTTCTCTTTTTTGAGTTCCCTATAGCTTCAGCTTGAGCATAATTCCATTTTATCTTGCCACCATCATCTTCTTTAGATCTATTCTTTGCCTGTTATATCTCTGTCTTATCAGTAGTATTATGAATTTTTTCCTTTGACCATTAAAGATGAGATGGTTAAAAGGGAAATGGCAACTCCCCCCGACCCCCACCCCGGCCAATATCTCACAAATTTCTTAATTCTGTCATTCTTACTTATGGGCATCACTTTGAATTTAAATTAAAGAATGCCTATCCTCTACAGTTCTTGTCTAGCTAGTAAAATCTTAAAGTAGTACTGTGATATGTTTGATTTTTTTTTTTTTTAAAGATTTTTATTGGGGAATTGGGGGGATGGGAACAGTGCTGGGGAATTGGGGGGAAGGGGAACAGACAAGTTGCTGTCGTTTTGTTCTTCAGTCTAGTTGTGGAGGACGTTGCTTCACTGGCCCAAGTTGGCACCATCATTGCGCTCTTCCCGGGAGAGGCAGATCCGTCGCCGGCTTCTGGACGGCCGCTCACTGCGGCTGCTGGCCGCTCACGCTGGCTGCTGGCTACAGACGGTAGCCCATGGCAACCCACTGCCACAGGGGCTGCAGCCCACGCCGTCGCCGGCGACCCACGGCAGCCCAGCTCCAGGTTGAGCTGTTGTTCAGCATCTTAGCTGTGGAGGGCAGTGTCACTGGCCCTCCTATGTGGGATCCGAACCGGGGCCCTCTGGCATCCCAAGCGAGTTCTTAACCATCGCGCCACTCGGCTGGCCCTGATATGTTTGATTTTGATTCATCCATATATTCATTATTGTATAGGACAAAAGTGGAAACAGCATTACAGATTCTACTTTTATGAAACATAATTAGACTATAGTCTTATGATATATGTTTGCATAATTCTGCTTCCTACCCCACTTGACTATCTATGATGTTGCACTCTCTGATGGAGGATACATTCCAATCCTGTTCCAGTACCTTTTACTTAGACCTGTTGACTATTTTCAAGCATTTTCCTTTCTGGAAAATCATTGAGCCAACTTTAGTTGTCATCTGTTTTTATTTCACAGTTGTGTATTTCCCTTAGAACTGGCACACTGAGAAAATTTGACATTTCATTTTAAATGGCAACTAAAGTTTTCCAAACAACCGTGGAACCCTTGATTTTTATAAATCATTGTCTCAGCAGTCAGGTCTCCCTGAACCGATGAGCTATCTATACCGGTACAAAATTTGTAAACTTTAAAAATATATATATATATATTTTAAATTTTTACCCTCATACTCCACTTTTTGGGAGTCTGTATTTGGAGAGGAGCTGTATGTTTTTATTCTAAATCATTTTTATGACTGTCTGTTTAGAATAAGAATGAACCATAGTAGTGTCTCCACTTGGCTGTCCTTTAATCTCTGACCTCATAAAAGATTAGTCAGTAACAGTGTTTTTAGGGCTTCAAATTGTATGGAATTAAATGGACCTCTTAGAGGGCTCTTTTAAGTAAAAGATAACCGAGTTCTGATTTATAGCAGTACTTCTTTTAAGCAAAGGTTATTTTTGAAAGAAGATAAAAGACTAGTGTCTGATGAGAGTATCATCAAAGTTGAAGATCTTTGTTCTTTATGAACTTCTCTTCTGAACCAGTGCAAGTTAAAAATTAAAATCGCTGCTTAAATAGGATTGTCATGGCTATCCATGTAGGGAAGCGTGTGATGTCTTTATCACTCAAAAGGCTAGTTGTATTTATATACGTATTTTGTTTTTCTTGTAAGGAATTCTTTCTCTGAACATTTGCTAATGAAAAATACAGCTAGGACGAGACCAAATCAGCCAAATCCTGAGTTACTTGACTGAGGAAGTATTTTGAATGTGTTTCCCTTTGAAATCGAAGCAGCTTTCATACACCACAGGGCCGCCTGTCCTTATGAAGTGGGTTAGTGTGGGTCTGCAACCTGCCACCGTGGGAGGTGGTGCAGATTCAAAATAAAAGGCTCAAGAAGGATTTGGAAACCTTCACAAATGATAGCTCTTTGAGGCGACAGAGGAAGCTTTGGGTGCTGGGTTACCCCTGTTCTTCACCTCTTCAGGACAGTATCTCCAGCACTCACGTGGCTCAGAATG